GCTGCTGCTGCTGCTGCTGCTGCTGCTGCTGCTGCTGCTGCTGCTGCTGCTGCTGCTGCTGGTGCTGCTGATGGTGGTGCTGCTGCTGCTGCTGGTGCTGCTGAAGGTGGTGGTTGTGGTGGTTGTGGTGGTGCTGCTGTTGCTGGTGCTGCTGGTACTGCTGCTGCTGATGGTGGTGGTGGTGCTGCTGGTGCTGCTGTTGGTGCTGCTGCTGCTGCTGCTGCTGCTGCTGATGGTGGTGGTGGTGGTTGTGGTGGTGGTGCTGGTGCTGCTGTTGGTGCTGCTGCCTGCTGCTGCTGCTGATGGTGCTGGTGCTGGTGGTGGTGCTGCTGCTGCTAATGCTGCTGCTGCTGCTGCTGCTGCTGTTGCTGCTGTTGCTGCTGCTGCTGCAGATGGTGATGGTGATGGTGCTGCTGATGGTGGTGGTGGTGCTGTTGCTGCTGCTGCTGCAGCAGTTGCTGTTGTTGCTGCTTCTGCTGCTGGTGTTGCTGCTCGTGCAGCTGTTGTTGTGTGTATATATTTAATTTGTGTTTGTGTTTCTGCTTCTCTCTGTTGCTGCTGTCTCCTCGGTTGGGGTGTATAGGCACCTCCTTATCAGTAAACGAAAAGTGAAGGGGCGCAGCTGCCTATACACCTCAAAATATATTTATACATAAATATATATAAATAAATAAATAAGTAAATAAATAAATAAATAAATATATAAATATATATATATATACATATATATATATATATATGTTATATATATACACCCCAAGCTGCGTATACACCTGACGGTGCCTATACACCTGAGTGTGTTTCTACAGAGAGCTGAAGCTGCCTATACACCTGAATGTATGCATGCATGCAGGAGAGGTAGAGCTGCGTATACACCTGAATGCATGCATGCATGCATGCAGCTGCAGCTGCCTATACACCTGAATCTTTGCATGCATGCATGCATGCATCTGCAGCTGCGTATACACCTGAATGCATGCATGCATGCATGCATTTGCAGCTGCGTATACACCTGAATGCATGCATGCATGCATGCATGCATGCAGGTGAGGTGGAGCAGTGTGTGGCGGCTAGCGAGCGGCTAAACAACTGTCTCTGCGACCTAGAGGAGACAATGAGGAGACAGAAAGAAGCCTTTGAGGCCGCTGTAGAAAGCAGAAATGTTACTGGAGTGCAGCTTATAGATAGGTAATATAATATATTTGTATTTATATTTATTTATTTATTTATTTGTTTGTTTATTTATATTTGTATTTATAAAGAGAGATAGAGACAATGAGGAGACAGAAAGAAGCCTTTGAGGCCGCTGTAGAAAGCAGAAATGTTACTGGAGTGCAGCTTATAGATAGGTATTTATATTTATAAATAAATCAATATAAATATAAATATAAATATATAAATATAAATAAATAAATAGAGAGATAGATGTATTTATATAGAGAGAGGAGACAATGAGGAGACAGAAAGAAGCCTTTGAGGCCGCTGTAGAAAGCAGAAATGTTACTGGAGTGCAGCTTATAGATAGGTAATATAATATATTTGTATTTATATTTATTTATTTATTTATTTGTTTGTTTATTTATATTTGTATTTATAAAGAGAGATAGAGACAATGAGGAGACAGAAAGAAGCCTTTGAGGCCGCTGTAGAAAGCAGAAATGTTACTGGAGTTCAGCTGATAGATAGGTATTTATGTTTATAAATAAATAAATAAATAAATAAATATAATAATAAATATAATAATAAATGTATTTAGATAGAGAGAGGAGACAATGAGGAGACAGAAAGAAGCCTTTGAGGCCGCTGTAGAAAGCAGAAATGTTACT